TAAATTGATCCTGGAAACAACTACCTTCAGAAATCTTGTTCACAACTTAAGTGAGGTGAGAGAACTTGTGCTTAGTGGAGTGAACATGACATCTGTTAATCCTCGTTTCTTCATGAATCTCTCTTCTTCTTTGACTACTCTTGATCTTTGGGATTGGGAGAGTGGGTTAAGAGGAAACTTTCCAAACACTATTTTCTGCTTTCCAAATCTCAAGTTTTTTTCTTTAGGTGGAGAGAGAAACCTCACTATTGATCTTCCAAGTTCCAATTGGAGCAGTCCTCTCCAAAAATTGGATTTAAATGTCATGGATTGTGGAAGGCGATTGCCAGAGTCTATAGGAGATCTAAAGTCATTACAATTTCTAGGTCTTGGCTGCAACTTGGAAGGTTCCATTCCAGCTTCCATAGGGAATTTATCCCAACTTACTTCCCTAAACCTCTTTTCTAACAATCTTAACGGACAAATCCCATCATCACTTGCAAATCTCACACAACTTACCTCTCTTGACCTATCATACAATAAGTTTTCTGGTCCCATTCCAGCTTTCATAGGAAACTTATCCCAACTTACTTCCCTATCCCTCTATTCTAACAATCTTAACGGACAAATCCTATCATCACTTGCAAATCTCACACAACTTACCTTTCTTGACCTTTCCAATAATCAGTTTTCTGGTCCCATTCCTTTTCATGCAAGTAGGTCTTCCAAACTAAGCTCTCTAGACTTATCTTATAACTCACTTAATGGCACGTTGCCACCTTGGATTTTCACCCTACCTTTGTTAAAGGTCTTGGATCTCAGTTATAACCAATTTCAAGGTCAAATAAATCAATTCCATCAAAAATCACTCATACAACTAGATTTGTCAAACAATAAACTCCAGGGTTCAATTCTTAACTCAATTGCTAATTTAGTAAATCTTAGTTATCTCCATTTATCATCAAATCATTTTAGTGATTTAGTAGTACCTGACATGTTCTCTGCACTTCAAAATCTGGAATCCATCGGTCTTTCACAAAATAATCTTTCTTTGAGAGTCAATGTTCATGCCAACTTCACATTACCCAAACTAACTTATTTTGACTTGTCTTCTTGTAACTTGAGTAAATTCCCCAATTTCTTAAGACATTCAGATGGTCTGCAAAGCCTATTGTTATCAAAGAATAGCATTCATGGCAATATTCCTAAATGGATATGGGAAAACGATGATCTCGAAGTTCTTGACCTTTCTCATAACAATTTAGAGGGGAAAATCCCAAATTGTCTTCCTAAGTCTCTCTCAGTGTTGAATTTGCAGGACAATAACTTTGATGGAAATATACCATTTTGGTTTACAGAGAGCTGTGAATTAGAAAATCTCAACTTGCATGGAAATCAAATGGACGGGCTATTACCAAGGTCTTTGGTGAATTGTAGCATGTTAGAGGTTCTAGACGTTGGCAACAACAACATAACTGATACATTCCCTCATTGGTTGGAATCTCTACCACAGCTTCAAGTGCTTGTCTTGAGGTCCAACAAGTTCCACGGTTTTGTGGATAGCGCCAAAGAAGGTCCATCTTTTCCGAAGTTGCGAATTCTGGACCTCTCCAACAATGATTTTATTGGTCCCTTACCTATTCGCTACGTGGAAAATTTTATAGCGATGATGGATCCTCACAGAGATCAGGATTCCCCTGAATACATGGGAACGGGATCTTATCAATATTCACTGGTAGTGATAATCAAAGGATTGGAGTATGAGCTGCAGAAAATCTTGACCATATTCACTAGCATTGATCTCTCAGAAAACAAGTTCGGAGGAGAAATTCCAGATGTTTTTGGAAAGCTTAGTTCTCTCAAAGGGCTTAATCTTTCTCATAACAACCTTACTGGTCCTATCTCACAGTCACTTGGGAATTTGACAAACCTCGAGTGGTTGGATCTCTCTTACAACGAGCTGTTAGGGGAAATTCCGGATGAGTTGGTATATTTGACAGGACTTTCCAAATTGAATCTTTCAAATAATCATCTTGTTGGACGCATACCAGAAGGCAATCAGTTCAACACCTTTGGAAATGATTCTTACGAAGGAAACCTTGGACTGTGTGGATTCCCATTGTCAAAATCTTGTGATGGAAATGGGACACAGCCGAGCTCATTCCAAGAAGAAGATGAGTTGTGGAGATTTGGCTGGAGAGTTGTGGCTTTAGGCTATGGGTGTGGAGTTGTTTTTGGACTGCTGATGGGATATCATGTCTTCCGTACAGGAAAACCAAAATGGTTTGTGTCTTTGTTTGATGGCCGACTAAGTCAAAGTGGCAGGAAGATGAGGAAAGCCAGAAGAGTTGTTCCAAGAAGAAGCTAGTTGCAGGGTTGATGTTTTAGACCTTTTGATTAGTGCTTAATGAATAAGTACTCCTTGGGTTTGAAGCTCTTGTTTTATTGTAAAATTACATGTCTGTATAAATAAATAAATATATGTCGTTTTGCGCAAAGCCATAAGTTCTCCGGGCCCAACCCTACGTTGGTCGAGATTCCCTACGGCCACGGTCCGTTGCACGCAATTTGTAAATCACCTCCATCGCTCCGTTGCCTTTTTCTGTCTCTTCCTTAACAGCCTTTTTCTCGATTCCTTCCTTGGTTCTCTCTCTTTTTTTCTAGTAGAAAAATAATTAAGGAACGAAAGCTTTTGGGAATTTTGCAGCCAAATTGTTTAGTATTTTGCTCGTGGTAAGTGAGTTAATTTGAGCATTTGAAAATCGGGTAGATCGATCTTGAATTATGTAACTTTTGGGATTGTGATGCGATGCCGGTAGTATTCTGGGGTGGTCTCTGATTTTCTGTTTAGATTTTGTGAATTGAGTTGGTTTGAATCCAGATGATCGGGCTTAATTATGTGGTTTGATTTTGATTGTAAAGATGAGTCCTTTCTCTTTCTGGGATGTTTTATATATTCGTGATTTGGTATGTGAGTTGGGTTATTATCTGAAACCATAATCCCCCCGAATTTTGAGTTTGTATTCATAAGAAAGTTCCAAGTTTGAATTTTGGTCTCCACCAGAGATAAATTCTATTGCGTTTTTACATTCAATTTTAGGTTGTTTTTGGCATTACTGTGAGGTTAGTATATCATGAATGCAACTACATATTGGAATGATAGTGACATGGCGGTGAATCACAAAGTTCTACTGTGGTTCATTACCATGCTTAAGTAAGGCCTGCTTGGGTTGGTAACAATGCTGGTAGAGTGTCATTAAGCTCTCTGGTGACTTTGTGGTCTGTCAATGAGATAAGGGTGTCGGCTTGGTGGTCTGAGTACTGATCTTCAGAGGCATTGAGGCCTTCCTGATGTGAATTTTCCATTTCTTTATTGGTTGAATCTTTATTGTTTATTATATTGTGACTGTATTAAAGTCTCCCCAGCAAAGCAACCAGTCCCACTGCCTGGTAGCGTCCATGTGTCATAGTGGTGTTGGTTATTTGCCTAAGGCTTGGATGTGATTATGTGAGGGATGTAAAACTTTGTTGGGAGTCTACAACCCGTCTTTCTCTTCCCTCACTATGTTGTCTAAGATTTTTCATTTTGATTGGTTAACTTCTGGCCAAGTTTGCTGTTGAATTTGGCTGTTGATATTCAGTTAGGACATTTTGACATCTTATTTCCTTTTGGTGGTTGGTCCTTATTTATTTTTTTGGCCAGGTGGATGGTTCTATTTTTCCATGTTACTGATTTCTCTTTTAATGTCTGCAACGGTTGGTAGACTTTTTATGATTTTTCACAGCTGTGGATAATCTCCTTTTCAAATTGAATGACTTTCTCTGACAGGTCCCATTTTTGTTTGTCAACATCTATTTTCATAAATATGCTGCATGTGTAGTTCATTGAATTTTAAAATATATTGGATCTTATTGCCTACGCATGGAGGGAAAAGGAACAAAATTATTTTAAAATGACTGGAAGATATTAATCTGACAAAAGCTTTAGGCCATTATTTCTTTCATTATGTTTAGTTTAAATTTCCTTTCTACATCATCTTTTGCAATGTCTAGCACCGATCAAGTCTGATTTTATTTTTAAACAGATACAGTTTTGTATTCCTCAGCATTTGCAACCCTTTACACCTGTGCTGAAGTATTTAGGATCAGGAAATGGTTAAAAGGTTTGTTCTAACATTTGGCTTTGCATCAATACTTCAGATCATAAGATTGTCTTTGTGTATAGAATTTCTGATCCGTTTCTTTGCTTCAAAGGTATGGAGCGTTTTGATGTGCAGGAAATATCATGTTGCAGTGCATAGAGGGAATCAAGCGGTTATTTGCTTCCCTACTGCGTTGCTGTGATATTGGTTTGTATAAACAATCAAGAGGCCTTGAAGATCCTGAACTTCTTGCTAGAGAGATTGTGTGTATGTCTCAGTTCATTTTTTTTTAACTTGAGCTTTTTCTTCCCTTTTATTGGTAGTGGAATAAAACATTTGCAATTAATTTTTATATAGAAGACACATCTTGGTTCTGTTATGGGGTCTATTGAATTTGAATCATTCTTCTGAACATTGTTAATTTACTGATACGGATGCAGTCACTGTTAGTGAAATAGAGCCACTTTATGAGCTCTTCAAGAAGATCAGCAGTGCTGTCATCGATGACGGGTTGATTAATAAGGTTCAGATAAATCCATATTCACATGATTTGCAAATTATCATAAGCTTGTCAAGTCTGTGTTTGGAATGTTTTTATGTAAATTATGATGAGAATTTGGCAATTATTTATTACTGTGGCAGGAGGAATTTCAGTTGGCATTATTCAAGACGAACAAAAAAGAGAGCCTGTTTGCTGATCGGGTACTCTTTATCTCTCTCAACTTCTTGTTTCTGTCTTTTGTTAAATGTGCTTCACTGTACTGTTGTTGCACGTATCACTAGCACTTTGACCTGTCTATTGATAAATAATCACCACCCTGTAACTGCTGTCACAACATTTCTGATTTGCTGCAGGTATTTGACTTGTTTGATAACACATTAATTACTTCAAAGCAGCAATTTTACCTAGTTAAAAACAAGCATAAACGTATTCACATAAAAACAAGGCAGTAACTGGAAAAAGAAAAAGGAAAAATGAAAATGCTGGATGAAATTCATATGAGATTCCAGAAATTATCATCACAGTGACCTGCCACATAACAAACAAGGATGTCAGTCGAGGCATTGAGGAAATTAAAGCCAAGAGACACACGAACCGAGAGAAAAAAATTTCCAGACGGAATCTGCATAACGCTTTGA